CCGGTCCTTTTTTACTACAGCAAAAGCCGATTCCTGTTAAAGATGATCCTCTTTCATTATACACAGATGACCTTGAGCTTGGCTCGGTAGAGGCACATGTTGCTGGAATGGATCCAGACTGTTGAGCAACCCAGGCTGCTTGAAATACCTGCCCCTATGTTGAATACCTATGCCATTGGTGTGGAAAAACCTGCAGAACCTTACTGGATGGCACCAACTCAGACTTTAGGAGCAGGCAGGGATTGGTCAGCCTGGGTCCTCCTCCAGGCCCTTAATGGGACCCAAAAACAACAGCTGTCCTTCCCTGACCCTTATCCCAAAGTCTCCCACTCTCAACAGCATCAACTTTACTCTTGTCCCTTCTGCCCTCCTCATCTGATCTGCTCCCCAACGTATTGTTCCACATCAGTTCCCTCCAAAGAACATCTACACAGATGGCCTGAGTCAAGACCAAAATTCATCTTTAGCAAATAAACTCTCCTGGCACAATCCTGCTTTAAGCTATCTCTCCTGCTCCTGACCACTCCTGCTATACAAGAGGCCCTGAACTCTCCCAAAAATGATTTGGAGGTACCAAACAACAAGGTACACGCATCAACATTCTAGTATTTCTGCTCCTTTTTGCCATCGTTGCCTGTCAGGCCATTCAACTCACAAAGCTACCTGACTCAAACAAAGACCTGTCTCTTTGGTAAGCTAACAAACAGGCTGCTGCCACAATGAAGAATTAATCCAGTTTGACACCACTTTAACTGTCTCAATGCCATGGAATCCTGGCAACTGTAGTTCGTTGTGGCACCAGAGTTCTCTGACAGAGAAGGTTAAATGTCTCACAAAACAACAATCCCCAGAATTCCATAGCATTGAGCCATGACAGTTAAAAGTGGTGTCAAACGGATTATTTCTGAAGTATGGATGCAGCCTTAGAGGTGGACAGGCCAGGGGATGGAGTACTGCCTCAGTTTCACCTGGTGTTCCCGTCTCTGCTCCAGTTCCCAGAGGTTATGGCTGCATCTACACTGCAGAATTAATGCAGTTTGACACTGCTTTAACTGCCATAGCTCAACACTATGTGTTATGAGATATTTAGCTTTCTCTGTCAGAGAGCTCTGGTGCCACAACAAACTACAAACCTCAATATTCTGATGGAGCCATGACAGTTAAAGCAGTGTCAAACTGCATTTATTCTGCAGTGTGGCACCAGCCTCTTCATTAGCTCAGCAAAGTACAGGAGGAAACGAGGGCAGGTCTTTGTTTGGGACAGATGGCTTTGTGAGTCAAATGGCCTGACAGCCAATGCATGGCAAAAAGAAGCAGAAATAACAAGATGTCAATGCAGGTGCCTTATTGTTGTTGCTGGGTACCTCCAAGTCATTTTTGACTTATGGCAACCCTAAGGTGAACCTGTTTTTGTTGATGTGTGCCTTGAGGTCATTGCAACAGCAAACCTCTGAACAAAACTTGCCAAGAAAACCTCATGATAGGTTCCCCCTTTTTGCTGCTGTGAGCCTTCAATGTGTTTCTGACTTGAACAACAATGTCTCCCCATCATGGAGTTTTCTTGGCAAGATCTGTCCACAGGGAATTTGCCATTGACTTCCTCTGAGGCTGAGAGCATGTAACTTGCCCAAGGCCACTTAGTGGATTTCATGGCCAAGCCAGGAATCGAATCCTGGCCTCCAGTCATAATCCAACACTCAAACCACTACATCATGTTGGATATACTAGTCATATAAAACTGGCATACTTAATTCGTCCTGGCCAGTAAACGCACATATCTTTGCTTTTGTTGTAGTACAAAAGTAACTTTTCCATTACATACCTGTCAGCACCATGATGCCTTTCCAAATCATGAACTGAAGGTCAAAATTTGCATATTTCCAGATCCTCTTATATTCTATCCCACTTCTACAGCTATTGTTGTTGCTGTGTGCCTTCAAAATCTGACTAATAGTGACCCTAAGGCAAACCTATCATGGGGTTTCCTTGGCAAGTTTCTTCAGAGGGGGTTTGTCATTTGCCAACCTCTGAGGCTGAGAGAGTGTGACTCACCCAAGGTCACCCAGTGGGTTTCCATAGCTGAGCCTGGATTCAAACTCTGATCTCCAGAATCCTAGTCCAATACTAAAATCCCTACACCATGGTGGCTCTGAAGGCAATCCCATCACAGGGTTTTCTGGGCAAGATTTATTCAGAAGTGGTTTGCCATCACCATCCCCTGAGGATGAGAGAGTGTGACTTTCCCAAGCTCACCCAATGGACTAACATGGCTGAGCTGGGATTCGAACCCTGGTCTCCACAGTTGGAATCCACTGTCATGCAGGCTCTCAAGGGGTTTACTTGGCAAGATTTTGTTCCAATTAAGTTTTCCATGGCCCTCCTCTGAGGCTGAGAGAGTGTGACTTGCCCAAGGTCACCCAGTGGGTTTACACGGCCGAGCCAGGATTCAAACCCTGGTCTCCAGAGCCATAATCAAACACTCAAACCACTACACTATGTTGCTTCTTGGGGTTTTCTTGTCAAGTTTATTCAGACTTTGGTTTTGTTTTTTTTTGCTCTGGCCATCCCCTGAGGCTGAGAGAGTGTGACTCGCCCAAGGCCACCCAGTGGGTTTTTAATGCTCGAGCAGAAATTCGAACCCTGGTCTCCACAGTCTTGCTGGTGGCACTCTGCACATGCTCAGGGGCACTCCCCCACAACGGAGCCCTAAGGGGGGAAGTCCACCTTCTCCCCACCCTGATGCTTCTCCCATCGTCGGACTCACCCACAAACGCTGCCCTCTCCTCCGAGGCCATGCTTCAGCCACCTCTTCTTCTTTCTCAATCCCTGTCTCAGACTCTGAAGGCGGCCCTGGAAAATGACGTCACCGCAATGCGCCGCCGCAGTAGTCGGGGCTGGTTGCCATAGCGACCCCTTGCGCGGCCTACTCCTCCATCCCTCACTAACACTACACCCGAGTTCCTTAGGGCCTTTACAGATTGCCAGTAATAATGAAGCTTGAGGCCACTTTAACTGTCTTGGCTCAGTGCTAAGGAAGCATGGGAACTGTAGTTTATTGTGGCACCAGAGCTCTCTGACAGAGAAGGCTCAAAGTCCCAGAAAAAAAAAATACAATTCCCATGATTCCCTAGCACTGAGCCAGGACAGTTAAAGTGGCCTCAAGCTGCATTATTTCTGGCAGTCTGTAAAGGCCCTCTGTGTCTCCCTCAAAAGCACCGGGAAATGGCTGCTGGCCTAGGGGAGGGTGGGTTACATTGCCAAATCCATCGCCCCCAGGTCTGGAGAGGACCTCTAAGCATTTGCAGAGTATTATTTATTTTATTTAGGTTATTCATACCCCACTCTTCAGCCCCAGAAGCACTCAGAGCACCTTACAGGTTGTTAATGGGACAGTTCCCTGCCCTCAGGTTTACAATCTTAAAACAGAGTGACCATATGTTCTCTTCACCACTAGGGAGGACCTTAAAGGAAAATGGAGGACGTGCCCCAATAAAAGCTCAAAACACTCATGGAAATATACATTCCATGTTTTGTAGCCATGCTCAAAATGGAGGACACGAGCTAAGAAAAGCCAAAAACTCTCCTAGAAATAGAATTTTCTGTTTCTTAGGGGGGTTGCAGACTGCCAGAAATAGTGCAAATTGAG